TTTTTCCCCCCCCCCCCCCCCCCCTTAGAGATTCTGTTACTATTGTGGGGGTTTTTTTGTTTATTCAAACATAAACACACTGCAAATTCCAAACTTTACCCGGTCACTTCCAGACAGGATTGCTGCCTAAGCCTTACAGCCTTACTCAGGTAGTATATAACAAAAGTGAAAAGAGCACAGGTTAGCCATGCAGTTCCACAGCAGGCTTGAGATTTAATTCACCAAACTACTCCCTGAATCACAGGCTCTACCTCATTAGGGAGGAAGAAGTTATGAATCGGTGAGTCACCATGCCTGGCTGCCACTCTTCCTTTAGCACTTGATACCAACTCCCACAGCACAAGGGCAAACAAGGTGAGCAACCCTCCCACAGTCACCTGCTCAGCTGCCTCTGCAACCAGGCTGATGTAAAAAACATGTAACTGCTTAGTTTTTCTTTATGCATCTCAGGCTATTTAATGAATATAGTATACAACATCTCACCTCCACCTTCAGTCCAGTGAACAATGACGTGTAATGAAGGAAAAGAGCTGAAACGTCCATCACAGCCTTGAGTAAAACAGGGTAGCTCTCTTAAAAATCAATATATAGTTACACCAGCATTATGACAATAGTAGGAATGAGTTGCTGGCCCCATGGCTGCATATCATTTCACAACTAATTTATTTCCAGGTATCACAAAAACAGCAAATAAAGACTTGAAGTTTTTCTAATGCACATCGAACATGGTGACATGCTGCGTCTAGCCCTCTTATCTAGCCACGAAAAAGAATCTCTGAAAGTGGTGTTACAAGTAGTTAATAACATAGTCACCAAAATATTATATTCTCTTTGAAACGGGTGAGGGTTGTGTGATGCCTCACTGTATTTCTGGAAGATGCTCTTGCATCTCACCGAGTTATACAAAGCAACTTTCAGCTACTTAACAGTGAATAAAGTGGAGCTAATTCAGCTTGTAAAGACAGATTTACTGTATCTATATAGAAACAAAAAATTAACTATATGTGTACTCAAGTACCAGTTGTCATTTCAGAGCACTGAAAACAACTTTTCCTACATGTTTTTTAAACTTTCATAATCCTTATAAACTAAGCAAGAACTATTTCCACTGTTTTTTGAGAAACAAAGTCATAGGCCAGCAACTTAAAAATCCAGTATAAATGGTTCGTATTATTCATATTGAAATGAATTTCCCCTTATCACCAGTGTAACTCAATCTGCAAAGTTACCTTCCCAGCTACAATTTATTCATTGTTGACAAAACATATTGATTTTGGAAGACTGACTTCAACATGTAGTATCAATTGGAACCACTTTTCATAGTTGCAGACACCACCTCAGCCACTGTTTAACTGTAAAACAAATTGCTTAACTCTTTTGTCCAGAAAACCTTTTCACAAATGAAGCAGCCATGTATTTTTATGGAAAGACGTAAACATCATCTTATGTCCTGTGGTCTTCAGGGGCTGTAAGCACATTCCCTGTTCAGATACCCACATGGTACTTCCTCCTTGTTTTTTAAACGGTAGATTCGCTGGCTTGGAAAATACCTGGAGCAGTTCCCGTGGGAGCAGCCTGGCTGTCCTCCCTGGAATGGCCTTCGTGGCCTTGGGACTCACCAGCAGGAGCCACGCAGCAGCGCGAGTTGAGCGAGGTTCTGGCAGCAATGGCCCAACTGCTCCTGCAAAACCTCTCCCCCCTCCCTTTGCTGTCATTTTTTGTCTGATTTTTGTCCTCTCAAGAGAATCCCCCAGCTTCCCCTTCCCAGTTCCATCAGAGTTGAGGGCTGCCCTGCTCCAGCCCAGCCTGCTGCCTGAGTACTCTCCAGAGAGGCCTTCGGTGGGACTTCGCCGCTTCCTCCCAGCTATCTCATTTCCCCCGGTTATCCTGCCCTCGCAGCCCTGCGTGGCTCTTGCTGCCCACCCCACCCTCTGCCTAGCAGGGGCTGCTCCCGAGCGGGGAGCCCGACAGCCACACCAGTCCTCTCCACCCAGCAGAGGAGCCTCGCTCCAGCTTTCGGCTGCCTCCCCTTCCCCTCGCTCGCTCCTCTCCCTGCTGTGGTTTAGAGGATCCCAATGCAGCTGGTGCTGAGGGACAGGCAGATCCTACAGGGGCTTGTTAGCAGAGAGCCCTCCTGTAACGGACCGAGCTATGGCCTTTTCTCAGGGAAGCTCGTGGGATTCAGGATTAGGTCCTGGCAAGCACTTGGGCACCCGCAGCAAGATGTCAGTAGGAATCAGGAAGCCACAAACACAATGCTGAATGCCCGTGGATCTGGCCGGCTTGCTCCGTCTGCACCAGTTCCCCCCCTATCCACCCGCTCCCTTCCTGCATTTCCTAGGCAGAACACCTCATATTTGTCATTACTGGATTCCATCCAATTGATTTCAGACTCCATCCGATCTATCAGGATCATTTTGAACCCTACTCCCCAAAGGGCCTGCAATCCTCCCTGCTTGGCACCATGCACATTTTTTTTTCCCCAAGGGAACTCTATTCCAGGGGGCACTTCCAAGAAAATTTCAGAGACGGAACAGCAGTCACAGGCTTAGCGCGTAAGTTTGCTCATGAGACTATCATGAGGGACTGTGTCAAAACCCTTATTCAGGATACATTTATTCCTTCCCCTTTAACCACTCCGCTGCTTCGCCAGAACGAGATTAGACTGACACGGCACAGTCTGTTCCCGGTAAACTTATATAGACAGTGTGTATCACACTATGATCTAGACATCTGTAAAATCGACAGATCAGTGTGTTGCAACCTCATCTAGCGCACCGAAGGTGAGCTGCCTGGTTGGCAATTCCAGAGGTCTGTCTCCTTTGGGAAGGGAAGTACAATATTTGCCCTCTTCCAGCCTTCTGGAAATCCTCCGGCCTCCAGGTGCTCCTGAAAATATCACCCGTGGGGCTGAAATCACAATGGCTTATCCTTTAAATGCTCTTCAGTACATTTCATCAGGCCTGATGAACTTGAACACATCCATTTATGTAAACATTCCCGGTTCTTTCCCTTTTCTCGCCCACAGTCCTCATGAAAACTGCTGGCAGTAGGCATCTGAAAAAAATTTATCCTTTTTTTCAGTAGGATCAAAGAAAATAAGACAATGATTATTTCAACTTTTTCTGTACTCTCTACTTTTCAGGTTATTTTGTAATCGATTTGTGTGTTTTTCCATCTTAATCCTAATATATTAACAGAAACTTTCTCTGTGGACTTACTTGTCCTTGCTAAATGAAATCCCTTTTGTACTTGACCCTCTCCAGTTCTATCCCAGCCTGCTTGCAGTATTCTTGTTACTCCTGTGGCTTTATTTTTGACTGTCTGATCATTAAAAAGCTCCTGATGCAGCTGACAGCGTAACATCTTGTATTTAACGCAAGAGCTTTCTGTGGTGGCTAGTACATCAGGGATCCTTTAATTGTCAGTATAAAAGCACGCAAGTGATGATGGAGTAACTATGTGTGAACTAATAGCCTGGCATCTGCTCTACAACTGCCCCCATACCTGCTCTGACCCTGCAGTGAACCTACAGCAGCTCGCTCTTCTCTCATGACAGGGTAAGTTTCCTTGCATTTGTCATGAGCAGTTAGATGCACACGGCCAGTTACCATAGGGTAGCTGCATCCCTAGCCACGCTGCGTGTGCAGAGATTATCAGCAATAATCTCTCATATGCTCATACCTTGTTCTTCACAAGTGATCTGACCTAACAGCAACCTGCCTTCACTGATGTTTCCTGCTTCTTTCGGATCCATCATCCTTTTCCGCAGTCACTATATGCTTCCTTTTCTCGGAGCAGTCAGCTCTAGATTTATAACCATTTTCATCCCACATTCATTCTACAATTAAGTTTTCAGTGAGCTCCTGCTCATCAAATTTTAAATTACTAGGCTGTTGCCTCCCTCAACCATCTAAAACACAAGGCTGTTCCATGAGGATGGTGGCTGTCCCAAGAACTGTAGAAAGCATTCGGCTGTAAGATTTTTGTAACAGCTATCCAGATAACTGTGTTACCACCAGACCCTGTCCTTTAGTTGCACCTAACAGCAGGTAAGACAACACTAACAATCCAGGGGGGTGGGAAAAATCCACAAGTGAAAACCTGGGGCTCCAAGTCCAGGTCTCCTGAAAATTTATTAACACACAGAACAAGAAAAATCACATTTTCTCACTCTCTACCCCTTCAGGGTCAAGTGCTCAGTTAATCTCCTGAAAGTCACCTGCAGATCAGCTATGATTGCTGATGCAGTTTCCACTTCCACACAGAATGTAAGTACAGAACCACAAAAATTTTGGCTCTGAATAAGAAGTTGCCAGGCCAGATCAGAGGGAATACTGAGAGCCGCCCGGCCATTCTGGGACAGATGATCTTGATCTGTGATCAAGAAGTAATATGGCTTTTTTCTATCAATAAAACAAGAAAGCAGGGCTCACTTCAGGAGCATTTATTTTCTTTATGTGGCTTCAAATGGAGCCTGGCCCTGTCTGCTCTGCAGTAGCGTGCTGCTGTCTGAACAGCCCTCTCAGACCACCCTATCTCCCCTCTCCTTTCTGTTCCCTACACTTGCTGCTCTGTAAAGTTGAGTGCCTGACTTGCTATCACCACAGAGACAGGCATCCCAAAGCAGCGTATGACATGATTACTGAAGGATTTACAGAGCCTCCACATGGAAATTTCCAGATAGTGGCAATTTTCCAACAGGACTCTCTTGCTCTCAAGTTACACAATATGTCAGCTGATAACTTTCCCTTCTGGTGTGGTGGAAGAACGTAACCTCCGCTGAGATCACACACGCAATGGGCCACCTTTTTTTGTTTGTTCTCGCCCTCCACACTACTCAAGAATCTGTGGTCATCACTCCCTGAGCACCTGTGCTGAAATGGCCATCTTCAAACGGAGAAACAAGTGGGTATGAACTGATTTTGAACAATTCAGGTCGGAAGTTACAGGAGTTTTGACTATTGAAACAGCAAAAAAGCATAGTAAGGGTAAAACCCCAGCGGAGATGGAAGTGGAGCTGGCCCAGTTTATAAAGAGGATTACACAACATGGTTACCTCCAAGAGCAGGGACTGAGATGATGGGTCTGCAACCCCTTCTGATTCAGTGTGCCTAAACTGATCTTTTACAACAAGTGATGCCATCTGCCAAACACAGGTGACAGAGGGTGAGACCTACAGATATCAGAAAGGTACAGTAAATTTGTTTATTCAGCTATCCAGAAACTGAATAGCTTCTACAGAAGCTGTAGAAGCACAGTTAGAAGACACTTTGGAAACAGAACCTGAACAAGGCAGGAGAGGCAGCTTGGAGATGACTTTGAGGCGAGTGTCCCCAAAGGAAAGTGACAGAATGAAAGACAGCAACAGAGATGCCAGGGAAAACAGAAAGCCAGAGTGCCATAGCAATCTTGGACTATCAGATTTATTAAGCGTGTTGCAGTATTGCTGAGGGGCTTCCAGCAGTGAGCAGTGCCCTACTGTGCAAGCTACTGTACAGACATGCAGTTGACAGACAGTCCCTGCCCTACAGAGCTCAGAATTACAGGAATGACAAGATGCAACAGGCAGATGAAGCAATGGAAGATCTAACAATCCCTGCCCACTGCACTTCCCTCAGGCCTTGGACTAGGGTAAACAGAGGCTGCAGATGAAGATGCTGTCACTTGAGAAGCATTTTTCTCCAATCAGAGAAGACTTTTGATCAATATTACTACTCACCACAAGCAAGCATCCAGCAAAAACAGTAAACCCCTTTGCGTGAAGCTGTTTTGCCAAGGCATGTCCAAAACCTTTGTCACAGCCTGTTATTAGCACCGCCTTTCCTTCAGCCTGTGTGGGGAAAGACAGTAATACGATATCATCAGATATTGCAACGCTGCAGGCACCACCAGCACCCAGCGACATAGCACAGGAGCAGCTTGCAGCCCCGCAGCCAGGGCCAGCCAGTGTTTACAAGGTACAATTCCAGCTGCAAATCACAGTGGCCACGTACCTGTCTGCACACAAACCTGACCACAGTCTAAACCCAGCAATTTCAGTAGAGCTTCTGCTGGGTCAACCAGCGTAAAGGAGGTGACAAGATTACTGTGTAGAAACACAACCAGCTCCCAACTACTGTGAAACCCTAAATTTATTCAGTTGCTGGTCTGTAACAATTTGCATTGTCTTGATACCCAAGCTAGAACAGTAACTCTTTCAAGTATCAGTGGCCAAAGCAGAACAGAAACATTTCAAAAGAAGTTCATGATCTACCAACTCATAGGCATTATAAGAAAAAGCAGCACAGAAAACATCCAAATGATAGTATGTCACCTGCTTGAACTGTACAGCAGCTCTTTTAACTGCAGAGTGACTCTATTGTCTGTTCCCCTACTCCCACTCTATGCGGTACTTTCCATGCTGTATTTTAGCATGCAGGAATGTGACTACAGGTTAGGGTTTCCTTCTGAAACACTGCAGCCTTAACAGGAACAATTTATCAAATCCTACGGTTCTCTCCTACGTTATTATCTTTTGACTGACGGATAAATTGAGAGAGAAAATTTGATACTCCATCTGGTATGACACAACAGGCTTGTGTTAGATCTGAAAACAGAATCCCAAATCCTGGAGAAGCCTGTAGTGAAACACTGCCCATTCACCCTCTTTCTTTGCTTGGAAGCCATCTCTCCCCTGCTCTCCTCACCACAGCTGTGAAGCAATGAACTCCTAATGCTTAACCCAACTAGCAGGCACCCAGCTGCAGTGCTGCACACTGCTCCAAACTGAAACCGTATCCTTGAGGGAATAACGTCATACAGTAATAAAGATCTAGAGAATGCAATAAGGAAGTGAGGTCACTTCCATCTCTGTGGAGATATCTGCAACTAATACTCCCTGTTACTGTATTAACAACAGCTGGAATACGAACATTTGTATTTTATGCTACTTACGTATGAATCGCACCGGCTGGTCCAGCCACTTTTTCAGACAGAAATGGGGCAATCACCAGTGCTCTCTGATCTGGTTTTGCTGACGTGCATGGTAGTGAAGTGGCAATAAGGAATAATTGCAGGGTGATAGCGATCAAAGCATTACTGCACAAACTCAAGATGAGCCCAAGCAGAGAGCAATATGCAAATAAGCTACACCCTGTCCTGCCCTTTAACTCATGCTGAAGTTACTGCTTTCAAAGGGGAGTCACGATCTGAAGTTGAAATGAGAACTGATCAAAAGTCTACCCTGCATTTATCATACAAACATCCACATTAACACCGATTCCTATACTCAAAGAGCACCCAGCTACAGGCTAGCTCTGCTGAAGCTCCGAAGGTAGCTTCAGCTAAAGGACAAAAGATAAGTGAGAATTAAATATACAGTGCTCAGTCTTAATTTAATTTACAGTAACACAACTCCAGGAGAGATGAGGATCAAGTATGAATCAAATCACAGAATTTGCCACAATAATTCAGCAAGCTGGTCCATGGAAAAGAAAGGATTTGACTTTTTTCTCTGCCTCACCTCCCTAAGCCCTTTGCCTCTGAACCCTGAAGACAGAGGACTTCCCAAAAGAGCAGGAACTGCGCAAAAGAAGTTGCAACTACTTCCAGAACAGGCAAACACAGAAGATGCCCAGTCAGCCCATCTGATAAGGACAGAGCTCAGCTGCAGGAGATAAAAGCAAATGGCTGAGCTGTGTTCCTGTGTGCATCTAGTTTTAGCTCTCAGCAGCTGGTTTGCTTTCTCTGGTTAAAAAAAACCCAAACACCAAACCACCAAAATGTAGACAGAAAGGAGGAGGTTTAAAAATCCTCTTAGCTGTCTATAATGGGGAGAAAAGTGAGGAACAACTTACAGTAGGAGAAGGTTCCTGTGATTATTTGTCAATTATTTGCTATTACCCTAATTGCTGGTAATAAAACATGTGACTACAGCAGCACGGTTCGTAACAGACCAAGGCCCCAGCAGTGCTAACAAGCATGCAAAAACCCAAGGGATGTACTAGATCTCCCATCTGTAGCTGCCCCCGTCTTTGTGCCATGCCTGGTTGACAAAGAGCTCCCAGGGATGAGAGCAGGGAGCGACCCCATTCCCAGCCAAAAAGATCCTATCCCCAAAAAACCTCTGAACACACGGAAAAGCCCGATCATCCTTATCTTTTGAAAGTCCCAAGATAAGGCCTAATGGGCCTTGTTCCTGGAGTTTGATAAGGTCAGTCTGCAGCTTACAGTTTGACACAGTGCTGAGACAGGCAGAGAGGACTAGCTATCACCTCTCTAGAAGGCATCACAGCAACCTTAACCAGCGTTTTGAGGCACTTCAGGTGCCTCACTCACTAACAGTCACACAGTGCTCTCAGGGAACACTGCGCAGGAGACGGCACTTGTGTACAGTGCTGCCAGGGAAGCTGAGACCTGCTAAGAGTGCAGAATAACTTCTTGTACTGGAGGTGCTGCTGTGGCGTCTGGGCGGGGTAGTACTGTCTGCATGCTCGCCGTGTGATCCACAGCACTGTAATACACGTTCCACACAGTTTAAACAGCCCCGGCGAGGCAACCTGACTTGAAGCTGCAGCCAGCTCAGGTGCACACACCTCACCAGCTTTTCCTACTGGGATATGATCGCTTTATTAAATAGTAGAATTTACTTTACTCATGCAGGTGATCTATCAAAATTATACACATTTATTGCAAAAGAGGCTAAGGAAAGTGAAGCTACTTTTTCAGCCTCAGTCTCTCTGGACAATATGGGAACCCACCATGCTTGCCTAGATGTTATCTTCTTCTGCTGTCACTTGTTTTCTGGATCCCGTTCCCTTTTATGCCCTCCCCAACCATCTGCTTATTATCAAACAGATTAATTCCAAAATGAGAGCAGTTACACTGTAAACTTTGCTTGTTCCCTTTTTCCAGACTCAGGAAGTTGAGGTTTTCAATCCCAGGAAAAGGAACTGAAAATATTCACTAAATGGAATATTTTCCTAGGTGGGACAGGGATGGGGAACATCAGGGGAGCAGAGTGGATGGAAGAAGAGCAAAGTGGGAGGTTGCAAATGGGCCAAAGCTGTTATCTGGCCGTTTCAGAGGGGCAGGGCTGAGCTGGAGGCCCTGGAGCAAACATATGTTCACTTGCAAGTCCTTCCCAGTGCCTGCAGAAAGGTTGTCTGGAGCATAAGCAAGAGCTAAGTTAACTCCAATCCAGTGAAAGAACCCCAGACATTTTGTGTAATTTTTTTAAAACATATGAAAGAGACTGGTTATGCAATTCTGTTCCATTCACAGGGCTTTTCTTCTCCCTTACGCTCGCTCCCAAATTTCGAGTACTGGAACAAAATCCACGCGCCCACTGTTTCGTGAACCCTGTGAAGCAAAGCGGGGTGTCGCAGCGGCGCAGGGGTCAGCACGGCAGCAGTCAGCTGCACCGTGGCCCCGGCCGAGCCCCGTCTGAGGGGTCGGCAGCCTGCCCGGGGCTGTTCACAGCTCGGCATTTCGTCTCCCCTCGCAGCGTCTGTGTTAAGCCTCCACCAGCCCAGCCGCCCGCTCGGGCAGCGCCGTTTCGGCTGGCGCACACTGC